AGCAGTTTTACTCAAAATTGTCAAAACTTCGAAGCAGCTAAGATATTCGTTGATTGGTGAATTGATAAACTGTGGTACATCCATGCAATGGGATATTTTCAGTGATAAAAACAACATGAGCTATCGGGTCAGAGAAAGACGTGGAAGAACCTTAAATGCATATTGCTAAGTTAGAGAAACCAATCTGAAAAGGCTGTGTACTGTATGATTCCATAACTGACATTAAGTAAAAGGCAAACCTACAGAGACAGTAAAAAGGTAAGTGGCTGTCAGGGATTAAAGGAAGTAGAAGGGGAGGGATAGGGGCACAGAGGATACTTAGGGCTTTAGATATTTGATTGTTTGTTTTGATAATGTTACGGTAGACACAAAACAGTATGCATTTATCAAAACTCATAGAACTGAACAACACAAGAGTGATCCCTAATGTAAGCCATGGACTCCAGTTAGTAATTTTTCAATATTGATTAATCAATTGTAATGCATATGGCACACTAATGCAAGATGTCAATAACAAGGGCAACTAAATGTGGGGAGAGGAGGTATATGGAAACTATCTGTATTTTTCAGGTCAAATTTTCTGTAAATCTAAACCATCTAAGAAAATAAAGTCTGTTGATTAAAAATTATAAAATTCAATAGCTAGTGTCTGTAAATGAATTAGAAAAGAAGGAAAAATAGAAGAACTATATACATAGAAAGCATCCTCACAAATAGAATGACAAATTATATAATACAATAATATATGAGCAAACCAATTTGGACAGTTTATTCAAGCCACTCAAGAAGCATTTTTACCTAGACTGTATCTCAAAATTTATATAAGCAGCGTATCATCTAACTTTATTTATAAAAATCATTTCAATTAATGGCAAAACTGCCTTTGGAAGGAAACACTGACATCCATTCCTGCTTAAGTCTCAAAACAAAATTGGGAATAGGAACATACTTCCATCCAATATGAAAATAGTAATATTAAATCAAGAGTCAACAATATACTTAATGGTTTCTAATAAAATGTGTTTATAGTACTAGTTTCAAGAGATTTAATAGTACATATCTCTTCCCAGCTCATATTCCCTCTTTCTCTAGAAACAGCTTTTGAGGAACAGGGATGAGCCTCTAGGTGTTATGGCTACCTTCTGACCTTGACCACTGCTGATTGATTCAAAGATAGACATCTGACCTTCGTGAGCCTGATTAAGTTTGCTCTCCTCACAGACAGAGACTGGGAAGTTGTTGTAACTCAGCTTTATAACTGGAAGTGTTTGTTAGACTTCCAGAATTCCTTTTTATTTTTTCTTTCCTGACTCTTGATTTTCAACTCTTTGTTGGATTCTAGTACATTCTTCTTTCTGTTTAAATGTGTGAGATGTTTTTGTGTGTGTGGCTTGTAAACAAAAAAATCTCAAGTAACACAGACACTAATAGATGTTTAATGGTGAAAATAGGGGGATGTTGATGCGGACCATTTTGGGAACTTAGGTTAAACAAACTGAAATCTCTTAATTTTGGAATTTCTCAGAGTCAATAATAGGTCACTTATTCGATCATAGATTTTTTTTTTTGGAAGATACTTTTAAGAAGCTAGTATGCTATAAAACATACTTTGGACAACACTTCCCAAGTGATATTCCCAATAAATCAGCATCATCATCTCATGACAGTATGATTCCAGAAAGTCTTGGCCAATTTATGTAGAATCGACAACAATCTATTGGTAGCTGAGGGGAAAATTCGTTCACAATAGCAGCTGCAGCAGGAACAACAATAAAAACATAAGACCCCTCAGATTCCTTTTTATTCCAAGCTAATGGATTTCTTGAGGGAAGCACTTATTCATTATTATGCTTCTAGAAAAGTATCTGAGTTGCACTAGGTCCTTCATAAAATAAATGAGTATATATTTCCTTTTAATATCCTTGAGATTAAGAAAGTTTGTGGTTGGGGCACCTGGGTGGCTTAGTCGGTTAAGCGTCCGACTTTCGCTTAGGTCATCATCTCGCGGTTCGTGGGTTCAAGCCCCGCATCGGGCTCTGTGCTGACTGCCAGCTCAGAGCCTGGAGCCTGTTTCAGTCTGTGACTCCCTCTCTCTCTGACCCTCCCCTGCTCATGCTGTCTCTCTCTCTCTCTCCTGGAAATAAATAAAACATTAAAAAAAAAAAAAAA